TACTACCCCAAACTATCTACAGATTCAATGCAATCCCTATCAAACTACCACTGGCATTTTTCACAGAACTAGAACAAATAATTTCACAATTTGTGGGAAACACAAAAGACCCCGAATAGCCAAAGCAATCTTGAGAAAGAAAAACGGAGCTGGAGGAATCAGGCTCCCTGACTTCAGACTATAATACAAAGCTTCAGTAATCAAGACAGTATGGTGCTGGCACAAAAACAGAAATACAGATCAATGGAACAGGATAGAAAGCCCAGAGGTAAACCCACGCACATATGGTCACCTTATCTTTGGTAAAGCAGCTAAGAATATACAGTGGAGAAAAGACAGCCTTTTCAATAAGTGGTGCTAGGAAAACTGGATAGCTACATGTAAAAGAATGAAATTAGAACACTCCCTAACACCATACACAAAAATAAACTCCAGATGGATTAAAGACCTAAATGTAAGGCCAGAGACTATCAAACTCTTAGAGGAAAACATTGGCAGAACACTCTTTGACATAAATCACAGCAAAATCCTATTTGACCTGCCTCCTAGAGAAATGGAAGTAAAAACAAAAGGAAACAAATGGGACTTAATGTAACTTAAAAGCTTTTGCACAGCAAAGCAAACCATAAACAAGACGAAAAGACAACCCTCAGAATCGGAGAAAATATTTGCCAATGAAGCAACTGACAAAGGATTAATCTCCAAAATTTACAAGCAGCTCATGCAGCTCAATATCAAAAAAAAACAACCCAAGCCAAAAATGGGCAGAAAACCTAAACAGACATTTCTCCAAAGAACATATACAGATTGCAACAAACATGTGATAGAATGCTCAACATCACTAATCATTAGAGAAATGCAAGTCAAAACTACAATGAGATCACATCACACCAGTCAGAATGGCCATCATCAAAAAATCTACAAATAACAAATGCTGGAGAGGGTGTGGAGAAAAGGGAACCCTCTTGCACTGTTAGTGGGATTGTAAATTGATACAGCCACTATGGAGAACAGTATGGCGGCGGTTCCTGAAATAAATAAAAATAGAACTACCATACGAACTAGCAGTCCCACTACTGGGCATATACCCTGAGAAAACCATAATTCAAAAAGAATCATGTAGGGCTTCCCTGGTGGCTCAGTGGTTGAGAGTCCACCTGCTGATGCAGGGGACGCGGGTTTGTGCCCCGGTCCAGGAGCATCCCACATGCTGCGGAGTGGCTGGGCCCGTGAGCCATGGCCGCTGAGCCTATGCGTCTGGAGCCTGTGCTCCGCAACGGAAGAGGCCACAACAGTGAGAGGCCGGCATACCGCAAAAAAAAAAATGAGTCATGTACCACAATGTTCATTGCCGCTCTATTTACAATAGCCAGGACATGGAAGCAACCTAAGTGTCCATCAACAGATGAATGGATAAAGAAGATGTGGCACATATATGCAGTGGAATACTACTCAGCCATAAAAAGAAACGAAATTGAGTTATTTGTAGTGAGGTGGATGGACCTAGAGTCTGTCATACAGAGTGAAGTAAGTTCAGAAAGAGAAAAACAAATACCTATGCTAACCCATATATATGGAATCTAAAAAAAAAAAATGGTCATGAAGAACCTAGGGGCAAGATGGGAATAAAGATGCAGACCTACTAGAGAATGGACTTGAGGATATGGGGAGGGGGAAGGGTGAGCTGGGACAAAGTGAGAGAGTGGCATAGACATATATACACTACCAAATGTAAAATAGATAGCTAGTGGGAAGCAGCTGCATAGCACAGGGAGATCAGCTCGGTGGTTTGTGACTACCTAGAGGGGTGGGATAGGGAGGGTGGGAGGGAGGGAGATGCAAGAGGGAAGAGATATGGGGACGTATGTTTATGTATATCTGATTCATTTTGTTATAAAGCAGAAAGTAACACACCATTGTAAAGCAATTATACTCCAATAAAGATGTTAAAAAAATTTTTTAATTAAATAAATGGAATATAACTATATATCTGCCGCCACTTTTTTTTTTTTTTTTTTTTTTTTGCGGTACGCGGGCCTCTCGCTGTTGTGGCCTCTCCCGTTGCGGAGCACAGGCTCCGGACGGGCAGGCTCAGCGGCCATGGCTCACGGGCCTGGCCGCTCTGCGCGGCATGTGGGATCTTCCCGGACTGGGGCACGAACCCGTGTCCCCTGCATCGGCAGGCGGACTCTCAACCACTGTGCCACCAGGGAAGCCACACATTTTATGTTATATAGAAAATATAAGAAGAAAACACTGAGCTTAAGAATCAAAACTTTCCAAAATTGAATATGCATATAGCATAGGTAATATCACATTTAACTTTGGATGTCCAATTCTTTTATTTTTAGTCATCTTATAAAAACATTTTTTAAGATTAATATTGAACTGGGAATTACATTCATGACAGAATTTGTTTCTCTTTACTTGAGATAGTCTAATATTTGCCTTAAACATTTGCAAAGCAACTCCATGAAGCGCACTCCCGAACATTTCCTTTAGGCAGGCATTTGAGAATATACATGGACAGTCAGTGTGTGAGATTTAGCCAAGAAAATCCCTCTGAAACAAAATAATATTTTAAAGCCACACATCACTTTACATGTACTATTATTCTAGGCTCTGTGCAATATACAGCGTTGTGTCTCCAGTCTACATCTGCAGCCACTCCTCAGGTGTTCTCTGGACCTCATGTCTGGAAATGTTCTCACCTTCAAGATCTCAAAATCTGAGTTTCCATTTTCTGATGATAAACCTGTCTTAGCATTTCTCGTATTTTTTTAACTCCTATTGAACTTGATGATTAATTTATCATCTGTTGCTATTCTTTACCCTGTGCTATTTTTGCAGCCAGACACAACTGTTCTGGCTTTACATGTCTCTATCCAACAAGAAAAAAATAATAGCCTTTTAAGGGGCATCATTGTTTTGTTACTTTAGAACACCACGTACCTATGACTTTCTGCCACTCCTGTCTAGTAAATCCTCAGTTTTGAATCTCTCTCACTGTTAATTCTGCCTGTTTCTGTTGCATAATGTTGCAAAACTAATTAGAGCCAGTGAATGAGCAACCCTGTAATTAATGTCTATATCAGAGACACTTCAGTTTCAAAAGTGAGAGAGGATATTATAAAACTGGTGTAAACTAGCTCTGTCTGAGAGAAACAAAAGTAGGCCTATTTTCCCATCAGAATTTGTCTTCAGAGATGCTTGAAATTTTCTTATTTTAAAAAACTTTTAGGCATTTCTAGTGTCAGCTTTAAGTTTAAGCTGACAAGAAGTTCAAGCTCAAGAAGTGAATTCCTCTGTCTCATCCCAAATTCAGTTCAACCAGAATCAATTCCTTTCTCTTTCCATGAGAAGACAGATCTCACCACCTCAAAATATTTCTCTCCGTCTTCTTAGTCCTTTTCTTTGTCTGAGTTTAAAAAAAAGTTCTTCAGTTCTTACTCAAAATTCTATTCATCGTTCTACTTCTTCTTTGGCTTTCTTTTGAGGTCAGAGCAGAGGGTTGAGGCTGGCTATCATAATCTCTTGCCTTTCCTCTTCTACTAATCCCAGCCTCCCTGGAGGTAGAAAATACGTCTTTCCAAGCCACAGACCTAGGCATTATCTTGGAGTCCCTCTTTGGTTTTATATACATTTTTTCCACAAAGGACTTGCTCATCCGTCATGATAGATTCAAGCGAGACTTAAGCAACTGTCACACCCCAGCCTGCTTTCTACAGATGCGTTGGTTGATGGATAAAATTCTTTTTTCCAGTGTTGCTACTGGAAGTAGTTAGAAAGTCCAAAGTTAGAAAGTTCAAAGCTGAACTTATTTTTTCCATTGAGCCTACAAATTTTACTAGTCCAAGTGTAAAAATCACTACATATCCTTACATAGTCATAGTTGTGAAACCTTGGGTCAGTCATAAATGGCCCTCTTTTCAGTATCTCCAGATAAAATTAGTCACCAGGTCTTGAAGGTTGCTCTTCCACCACACTTCTCACACTTATTACCAAGGTGTGCATTATTATTGATACTCTGTCAGATAGCTCCACATAGTACTTCTACGAGCTTCATCTTAAAGCATAACTCTGATCATTTCAAGCCACTGAGCTATTCGAGAACTTTTTACATTCCTTCTCTTGGACGCTGTTGTACATACAGACCCCTTAGTTTGCATTCATGGCTTTTCTTTTTCTGGCCTCAAAACATACTCCCAGTTGTTTTTGCTCACAATATTCCATGAGCCAGTTTGGATGGCATGCTATTTCCTAATTGTGACCAGAATGGTCATTTTGTTCCTCCCTCTAGGGACATCTTCTGTTGAAACTCCGTATTCTTAAGGCCTTTATCGTAGTCAGTATCTTCCATGAGAAATGGTTTACTCTCCAACCAGATGTGAATTCTCCTTTCTTTAATTCCCATGTTCTTACTATTTTTACTTTTTGTCTCATAAATATTATTTGTGTACTGTTTTACCCTCCTCATAGAGTATTATTTTCTAAAGAAAAGGATGTATGATTAACCCATGGTTAAAGCACTGGGACCCCATTCTTACTTACACTAGTCAATCATTTATTGCTTGTACAAATGTGACTATTTGATTGTAGTAGAAATATGTGTATAACTGTCATGTAAAAATAATACTAGATCTCTCTGCAAAGTTGTTTTCAATAATCAGGTAGTAAGTATCATTTCACCTAATAAATAGTTAAAAGGATTGATGCATGAAGAAAGTACAGGATTTATTCACAGATGAGTCCCAGTCTCTGTTAGAACTTGAAAGAGATACTAGGTCCTTTATAATCCTCTTTCCCTGTTCATTTTAAACAGAGCCCACCATATGCATGCAAACTGCTGCAATCATTCATTAAGTAGATTCAACCTCTCATTTTCCTTAAATCATCACTGATTTGAGCTTACTGTTTTCTCAACTTAGGCCTAAGAAAATTATGGCCAGTTATTCATTCTCTAATTAACCTAAAAGTGAACTATATTTCATTGCTTGTAGGATGGTATGGGAAATCTGAGAGTCACCAAGAAGGGAATCCGACTTGAAGGTATATCTGAGTTTCTACTTCCATTGTATGTGAAAGAAATTCATTCCCGAAAGGTATGTGATACTGGCTTTGGCTTACTGTAAAAGATAATTTAGAGGTTATGTTTTAGCTTAAAATAGGAGGACAGATACCCCTTATCTCTTCAGTATGCATTTAGTTATTTTAAGCTAAAGACTTATTTGAAGAAATCAAAACAATGAAACAATTGAAAAACCAGTGGAGAAGTTAATTTCAAACTGACAAATTAGAGAGCCATTTCCAATTAAACTGCAGTGTTGCTTTTGTTAGTCTCTAAAATATGCCCTTCTGTTTTCAATGGATGGACCTTAAAAATCCAGTTATATTAATTCCAAAAGGGGCATTTAACATATTTTGAGTAATTTCTGCAAGAACCTTGACTTGAATAAATGATATTAATTCAATGTATTTTACATCTTTTCAGCTTTAACGGACATGCATTTTCTAAAAGTGGTGACAAAAAGTCTTAGTACAAAAATTAACTTTATTTCTGGATGTACATTATTTAAAACCAGTAAGAATATTTATTCTTTCAAATGTATGTGTGTATGTATGTGTGCTATGTGTGTTTTATCACCTAGCAGCATGCTAAAACTCAAAACATTATAGCTTAGACATTGTTCATTTTGGCTTAAGTGTGTTATTTCTCAGAAGGTAGTATCTTTGGTACATCAGAATCTCACTAGACTCTTTCAAATGTAATAGGCTTTCCCCTGGGATATGTGTGTATGTGTGGAAATAAATTTAGTGAAACAGAATAATTAGAAAGATTGTTATATAAAACGTGGAAAGATTACTAACCTTATTTCATAAATATGAAAGTGTATTTTCGACTAGAATGTTTTAATATTAGCAATATTTTAGCAAATGAGTTGCATAGTAAGCCAAAATTTTATAATTTGCTTCGAGGCTATTTTTCCCTTAAATATCAAAGTGAACACAGAACAAAGGATTCTTTTTCATAAAAATTTTAATTAGGATAATTATATTAAGTTTAAATTTTATTTTGTTATGTGTGAACTTGCAGAGCTTCCTAATATACTCTATTGACTGCTACTCTGGGTACTGGAAATTTTTTATTAAGATTACTTTCCGGATTTAGGTCAGAGAATAAATAATACAATAGACACATGTATGAACACCTGACCTTACTGATTAAACTATCAAAACTAATTAAACTTAAAATAAAAAGTTTGGTGTTTTTATTTGATTTGATTGTTAGGAAAACTGAAAAAGTATAGCATGCTTACACATATTAGCATCTTCCCTTTGACTGGAAGTTATCACCACTCTGTTATTTTCTGGTTCCTTCTTGTGTTTCACACCACTAAGCAGTTTCATATTTGAAGAAATGAAAACTCATACTTGGAAATAAAAACAGTACTTAACATAGGACAAAGGTGAGAGTCATCATAGGCGGGAACTTCTTTGAAAGTATATCCTATTGATAAGTCTGGGGACGGCAAGAAAAAAAAAAATTTATCTTCAAAGCCATTTTAGACCAATTTGGAGCAGCTTCCTGGGAGTACAGTTTAGAGAAGGATTGTGAAGCCTGCTGCCAGCAGGAGGGTCATAGAATTTACCTTCCTAGTAGGAACATTTTTGAGAGCAAGCAACAGGTGTAAACGAGGATACTCCTGGGAAACGGGGATGTATGTTGACTCCAACTATGGACCAAATAAGAAAGAATTCACTGATGTTATAGCATTAAAATGGGAGGTGGTGGCACATGGGCTTTCTAACTTTTATCCCTGGGAAAGTTCACAAGCATTTCTTTTTTTTTTTTTTTTTTGCGTTACGCGGGCCTCTCACTGTTGTGGCCTCTCCCGTTGCGGAGCACAGGCTCCAGACGCGCAGGCTCAGCGGCCATGGCTCACGGGCCCAGCTGCTCCACGGCATGTGGGATCTTCCCGGACCGGGGCACGAACCCGTGTCCCCTGCATCGGCAGGCGGACTCTCAACCGCTGTGCCACCAGGGAAGCCTGTTCGCAAGCAATTCTAAAACTCACCGTATTGATGGAAATCTATATGCTCCCTTTCACGTCCCCTGTCCTGTCGCTTCTCCTCTCGTTATCATTTGCCTCTCAGTAACTGCGAAGCATGATACAGCCCAGGCAGGTGGCAGCATGTTCCATCAGCAGTCAGACGGGAGGACTGGTTTGAGAACAGAAAAAGGAGACTCATTTATCCCGTGGAAATGTCTCTACCCACATACCACAAAAAAATAAATATTTAAAATAAAGAGAAATATATCTTTTATAAGCAGTCCCCATTTTAGGATTCTCTTGTCCACGAATGCATGCAGTTGTTTTTTCTCTGCCGTGAAGTTTATTCAGTGTTTCAAAAAGCCAGCCACAATGTTCCTGAGCCTTAGTTTTCTCATTAATAAAGTGAGTTTGGTAGAAACTTACCAAAATACGTGATTCTTAGGTTAAGAAAGAACACAACAAATTCAGTAATACTAGTAGAGATGAGTTTTTACATTATTTTTTTAATTCCACTTAGTCCAGTCTTTCCACACATTTTCATGTATTCAAATGTTTTTATGATAAAATGTCAAAATTCCTGTAGGTAAGATAAAATCTATTAAATTCAACAGGTACTTACAAAGATTCAATTAAGCTGAGAAAAATAGTAGTGTACAAACAATTTTGATTTGTGCAGTTTTTTTTCCTGCAGTTTTGATTTGTGTGTGTGTCTTCCTGCACTAATGCCAGTTGATTGCCTTCTTTCTATTTAGTCAGTATTCCACTCTGAAATAATTTTCTTATTTAAAATTATTTTCTGGTTACATAGGTATTTATTTAATACTATACATGGAAATGTAATACATTTCTATTGGTCAGAAAATGCAGTTGCCCACAGACACACACACCTAGCCTCCTAACTTAATAAACCATGGGCTGTTTCTACCCTACAAGCTAACTGTAGGGTAGTTGGCTGTCTCCACCACCAAATTTCTATAGATATTTGAAATTCTATTATTATCCAATGCAGTTTACTCTCTTATTCATGCTTTAAAAAAAAAAAAACAAACCTTTTTAAGTGGTTGATCATATCAGCACACAGAAAAACATATTCTATGTTTAAAGTATCTTAGAATTCAATGCATCTTCAAAATTAACATTATTTTCAGAGAGTAGGTACTCACTGAACATTTGTGAAGTTAAATATATAGTTTTCTTTAGATACAAAATATTCAAAGAACTTGGAATTTGACCTTGCATATATTATAACGTTCTGAATGGGTCTTTAGTGCATGTGGTCTAACTTTATGTTAAATATTTGAAGTATCAGGAAATTAGGACTTGTAATCACCAGTTTTTTAATGTAATTGAAAAGTTTCTCAAGGTTTCATGAATTCAGAGTGCTCAGGTGGTTAGATTATATTTCACTGATTGTTACCAGAAAAAAATTGCATCCTTAGTTCTCTAGGACTATCTTAAGTATTATCCAACTTCATCTGATATTAGCTGAATACCTCTCTTATTTTTTTCCGTTTAAGGATCCTCAGTTAAGGTGGTACCTCACTATTGCCCCTCATCCCAGCATCCTGCATGACAGATTGATAATTGTGTCAGGGGAATGGCTACCAGATAATTCCAGTTCCTGTAACTCCACAGCAAAACAAAGAAGTCTGCATTTTTTTTAGGATTCCTGTGTTAGCAGAGCTGTGAGCAATGTTCTACCCTCTCTTCACTTCCAGTCATTTCACTTGGCTTCAGAGCTGTGATACTAACTGGGTTCTTGGTTACAATCAGTTTTTCATCTCCTGTTCAATTCTTCTTTATATAATTCAGACACAAAGCCATGGAGACAGGCAAGTTCAGCAAACCTCTTCCCTGGTTACACAACATGATAAATCTCCTGACCCTGTGTCCTTCAGCTACCTTGGCAAATCTCTTCTATGCAGGTTTCTTTCTCCCATGCAAACCAATCATAAATAGATATCTGCAAGCTTCTATAATCTTTTTATTATTATCATTCTTATTATTTCACATTCAGTTGTTTAATACTGATGAACTTTATTATTTACTGTAATGTCTTTATTCAAGTTAAAACACACACAACACACAAATCATCCCAAAATCTTTACACTCAAGAAAAAAACCTGTTAACATATGGTGAACATCATGACAGTTATATAATTATATACTTGCACAAATAAAAAAGATAAATATATAGGGAGACATGTACCTGCTATTTATAATTAGTATATTATACATAATTAAATAGAAGAAACATAAACTGACATAAATTGGAAAGAATTGCTGACCTTTAATATTTTTTTACCACAAAAATTTTTTTTTAACTGTCTTTATGGTTAAGAATAAAAGACAATGAAAACCATTAGGAAGTTGGATGCATTAGCTCCATGTTTTCATTTCAGACGGTGTTCATTAACTCCCTGCAGTGCAATTTGGGGTGATTAGCTTCCCTCCAGTTTGTCTTCACCCCTATTCATTTTCAGGTTTTTCTGATAATTATATGATTTTAACTTTGTCAGCGTTCATAATATTTACATTCTGTTCTGCAAATTTAATTGCCTTGGCACTTTGGTCTTAATTCACAATACAGATGCCTGCCATCCTCACCACCAGTCCTTTTTTTATGGATTCTCCAGGGCTGAGTTCATTATTCAAATCATTCCTTCCTTTCTTGTATTTCATTGTTAATTAGTTTTGTGTGTTTGTTTGCTGATACTTGAAATATTGCATGGGAAAGGTGTCTGACTGTTGTCTTTATTCTTTTCTGGAATGTTATTAACGGTTCATCCCTTCTTTTCCTGTTAGCTCATTGCTCTGTGGAATTCTAGCACTGAATATTGCCATGAAGAGTCTCAGGAAAGTCTGGTATTTTTCTCCTGTTGATGACAGGCACGTTCTACCTGGATGTCTGATACATTTTTGCCATTTCATTTCTTTCATTTCATTAACCTTTTCTATATTATATCATTCAATATCTTTCAGTTATATTTGTTAAGGTTTTCAGAGAAAGCAATAATTCTTAGGTTGGATCTTCTTTGTCCTCCACA